AGAACGTGGAACCTTTTTTAGATTCTTTAATTTGGAAAGAAACCATTTAACAAATTCTATATGGATTTTGTGTCTTTCAAGGTACTGTTCAGCCATAATTAATTCATATTGCCATTTTGATTATAGAGGATGTTGATATTTATCTAATTGATAGTTAAGCCATGCTTTATAACGATTTCTAATAGTTTCGCTTCTTATATTTAATGGTGAATCCTTATCACTATTATTATATCCATCATGCAACATTCATACCAAATAAAGAAGATTAAATGGGTGCCATGTCTTCAAGAATCCGGTACTTGTTGAAAACTTACCAAAGGCGGTTTCTTCAAAATTGTTTAGGATTAGATGTAGTACATGTAATCCACAGGGAATTCAAGTACAATTACTTTTAGTTAATCTATTAAATTTTGTTACAGCTCCTCCATTATAATCACTCATATAATTTGTGTTATCTGAAAGAAAAATAAGACACCGTGAAACGTCAAGATTATATTTTGTACAGGACTCGAAAAGGGCTTGGCTGACCATATCAGAATTACAATGTTGAAGATCTTTTGTCTCCAAAAGTAAGATGTTGGATATATTTTTTACTGAATTCCAAAACATAAAACAATTTACTAATATTTTTTTTTCACCCCGACTTGACTCATCGGCCCTCATTCCAAACGTGAAATAACTTGACTGATTGGCTTGCTGGAATACATTTCTCATATGTAATTCTGATACTTCACGATACCAACGGCTAATAGTTGCTGCAGAAATCCACGATTCTGTATCATCCCCCATCAAAAAATTAAAGATGGTATTTATGCTAGCCGCTATAGTGTTAAAGGATGTTTGGCCAATCTGAGAAACTTGCAGAGTAAGTCTTATAAAGTCTGTACTATATTCTTTTTTATTCTTTTTGACTATATTTCTAATCATGGCCTTTATATCATCATCTTTTAATTCTGGTGGGTGTCTGGCTACTGCACGAGTTTGGGATATACATTGGTGGTGCTTGCGCTTAAATTGTGCAACAGAACCGTTAAGCTTTCTGACTTTATGAATTACACGATCTTCAGATCGTTGTAATTTTTGAACCTTTTGTTTAAGTTGCTTGTTATTATGGTTTAATTCATTTATCGATTTTCCAGGCTTGTAAAGGGTATCAGATATATAATCAGATGCCTTTTTTTGAATATAGGGGGATATAATTTGGTCTTGATTCTTTCCGTGTGAATATCTCATAGTACGTAAAAGATGGGATGTTGATTTAAGATCTGTATCAGGCATAACATTAAGAGCATGAATGATTGTATTATAGTACGAACGGCTTAATCACATCAAATGGTTAAGCCACCGCTGAAATTTGTGCCGATCTCTATATATATAAAATAACGTGATTTTATTAGT